AGAGATAAGGGGCACTGCCCTTATCCTCATTCCTCCAGGGACGCTTTCAGAGGGTTTCTTTCAGGGAGGAGAGGTCTTCTGGATGAATTGTGGGGTCCCCCGGGGCTTGATCTTCTCTCCAACGTTATTTAACATATGTATATATATCTATATGCACCCTCTTGCCAAGATCATCAGGAGGTTTGGGGTTGGGGGCCACCGATATGCTGACGACCCTCAGCTCTCCCTCCTGCCGAATAAGCAGCTGGTGGTGGCAGGGCTCTCGGCTGTCCTGGCCCGGGGCCTGGATGCAGCCATCCAGTGGTTAAAGGGGAGCTGGCTGAAGCCGCATCCATCCAGGACGGAGGCCATGGGGCTGGGGAAGACTGAGGCGCTAGCTGGATGGTCACTCCAGTGGGCTCAAGGTGTGGTAGGATTCTACAATGGTTCTGTCATTGTATAAATAAGTGTCCGTGGTAGCGTGGTCAGCATTTTTCCACCTGCTCCAGGCACGCCAGCTGGCTCTTTATTTGTCTGGATCAGACCTTGCCACATGGATCCATGCCATGGCCACATCCAGACTGGACTACTGCAATTCATTCTATGTAGGGCCACCCTTGAAAACACTTCAGAAACTGCAGGTGGTCCAGAATGCAGTGGCCAGGTTGCTGACTGAAATATCATGGTCAGCTCATAGTACTGTGGCCGTTGCACTGGCTACCAAGTAGCCTCTAGATCCAATTCAAGGTGTTGCCGTTCACCTTCAAAGCCCTTAGTGGTCTGGGACCCTCACACCTGTGGGATTGCCTCTTCTGCGACAACCCGCCGGGCTCCCTTTGGTCATCATCTAGGAGCCTCTTGCAGGTGCCTGCCTGCCCCAGGGATGTCTCAGCTAGCTGTCACCAGGGGATGGGCCGCCTTCTCCCTTCTGGCCCCTACCCCGTGGGATGTACTCTTGGATGGCACCTGGACTTGCTTAGTTTCTGCAGGGTATGCAAAGCTGAATTGTTTAAGAAGAAGAGATTGGATTTGTACCCCGCCCTTCACTTGGAGTCTCAGAGCGGCTTACAAACTCCTCTCCCTTCCCCTCCCCACAACAGACACCCTGTGAGGTGGGCAGGGCTGAGAGAGCTCTGACACAAACGGCTCTTTTTCAAGGACAGCTGTGCCAGAGCTTTTGACTGACCCAAGGTCACATCAGCAGGTGCAGGTGGAGGAGTGGGGAATCAAACCCGGTTCTCCCAGATTAGAGTCCGCGCACTTCACCACTGCACCAAACTGGCACTACACCAAACTTAACCACTACACCAAACAGACACCCTGTGAGGTGGGTGGGGCTGAGAGAGCTCTGTCCTTGAGAGAACTACGGCTTGCCCAAGGTCATCCAGCAGCTGTGAGTGGAGGAGGAGTGGGGGAATCAAACCCGGTTCTCCTAGGTTAGAGTCCATGTGCTTAACCACTGCACCAAACTGGCAACTTTAGATTGGCCTTTGAAGGGTAACCATGTTTGGGCTGTTTTAATAGTGGCATAATATTTTAATATTATTTTATACTTGTCATTTGTTTTTATGTCAGTTGCCATGAGACCCTTTGGGTGAGTGTGATCAAAAACCTAATTAATAAAATAATTTCCTGGAAGATTACTGCGCTGGTTAGCTCTGCTGGTCCCTTGCTCCAGCCATCAAGCTAGACGCAGGAAGGTGAGGGGTGTGTGTGTGTGTGTGTGTGTTTTCCTCAATTATGTTTTTCCAGTTTTACCACTGGAAAGACTGGAAAGTTTTAGGAGCACTGAGACAAACTCCTATAATTTTTTTTTGGAAGTGAAATTCGTAGAATCATAGAGTTGGAAGGGGCCATACAGACCGTCTAGTCCAGGGGTGGCCAAACTGTGCCTTGGGAGCCACATGCGGCCCTTTCGCACCTATCGTGGGGCTCCCAGCAGGGCGGCTGGGGAGGCGAAGGGGAGGGCCTGCCTCCCCCGATCCATCTTCCCTTCCCCAGCCAGGGTTCCCCTCCCTGGGTAGGCTTGAGGGGGGGGGGGGGGGGGGGAGCAGAGAAAGAAAGCAACTCTCACTTTAAATGCATTCTCAAAGCCCCCCCCCCCCAAGCCTACAAATATCACTGGGCAAATAAATATCACTATCAACAACTATTTGTATCCCTTTTGTTTTTATTTTTGGCAGTCTCATTTAATGTTAATAAAAAGCAAATTTGCACGTTTTCCAATAAAAACGTGTCTGTAGTATTTGTTCATGTCGTGTGGCTCTCAAACATCTGATGTTTATTCTGTGGCTCTTACATTAAGCAAGTTTGGCCACCCCGATCTAGTCCAACCCCCTGCCCAATGCAGGACCAGCCTAAAGCATCTCTGACAAACATTTGTCCAGCCTCTTCTTGGAAGCTGCCGGTGAAGGGGGGAGCTCACCACCTCCCTGGGCAGCTGATTCCACCTCTGAACCACACTGACCGTGAAAAAGTCTTTCCTGATATCCAGCCGATACCTTTCTGCATGCGATTTAAACCCACTGCTTTAGGTCCTCTCCTCTGCTGCCAACTGGAACAGCTCCTTGCCCTCCTCCACATGACAGCCTGTCAAACTAAACATTCCCAAGTGGGCCCCCTCAGCCTTTCCTCGTAGGGCTCAGTCTCCAGACCCCCGATCATCCTCATCGCTCTCTTCCACACCCTCTCGATTTTGCCCACATCCTTTTTGAAGTGATTTGTATTCATTCAGTGCAGCCAGGTGCTGCTCCACAACCTCCCTGTCAATGTCAACTGGGCACTCAGGTGTCCTGTTATGTCCTATACCATCTCTAGATGGGCTTGAGTTCTTCTGGGAGAAAACTGAGGCAAAAAAAGTCATTAAGCCTGTCTGCTTTTTCTCTGTCCTCCACCAGAGTTTCTCCTTCTACTCCCAAAAGCAGTCCAATTGCCTCTTTTACCTTGCATTTGCTTCTCACATATCTGTAGAAGTTTTTTTTATCATCCTTGTAAGATTATGTTTTATTCAAAATGTATAATACAGAAGTTGTCTGTTAGACAACCTACAGCATTAGATAGTAGTTCCAATGTATATTGTAGACACATACAAAATATTTTCAAGGATATCTTAAGTGTGAAAAACTTTGGCACCAATATGCTACAATTAACGTATAACTGAAGAATTCAATTTTTATGAAGTTCAACTTGATATCCAAGTATGCAAGTAGTTCTACCTGTTGTGACTGTGTTGAGAATTTCTGTCCAAATACACTTTTTAAAAATCACATAATTTGTTATCTACCTTCAGCTCTTATTTTTGCCTGCGACTCAGATGGCAAATCCGAGATGGCAAATCCTAAGCAACATGTGCTGCGGTAGTAGATCTCTCTCCAGTATGTGGCACACTTGCAGTTTCACTTGCAGAAATCTAAGGAATTGACATTTTGAAAGTTTCATAAATATGCCAATTCGTACAATTTTAACTACATTATAAATTATGCATTTTATCTTGTTAAAGCAATAAAATATGTTCAGGTTTGATAGGAAAGTATTACATAAATTTCAGTTTTTCAAAAAAAAATAAATCCAAAAGACTTTTTTCCTCAGTGGCTTTGAAACTTCCAGAAATTTTGCATGTCTACGCCAAGCAGCCTTTTGGGTGGCAAGACACAGGACTCCTGCCAGCGGTCGTCCACCTCCTGCTCTGTATTTTTCATGTGTGGAAGTGTGTGTGTGTGTGTGTCCGTGCGTGCGTGCGTCCGTGTGCACACCTGGAAATCATGGCAACTTCTGGTAACTGACCCCTACTGGGGGCCTGGAGGATATTCAGAGTGGTGGCTGAATAAAGCCTGCCCCCACCTCCTGCCTCTGGTATTTCAAGGAGGTCTCCCATCCAAATACTTGCCAGAGTCGACCCTGCTTAGTGTCCAAGATCTGACAAAACTGGGCTTGCCCGGACTATCCAGGTCGGGGCATGGTGACTTCTGGTGACTGATCCCTACTGGGGGCCTGGAGGTGGCTGTTGTTGCTGTTCAGTCGCACAGTCGAGTCCGACTCTTCGCGACCCCATGAACCAGATCCCGCCAGGCCCTCCTGTCTTCCGCCATCCTCTGAAGTTTGCTCAACTTCATGTTCGTTGCATCCATGACACTGTCTAACCATCTCATCCTTTGCCGTCTCCTTCTTCTTTGACCTTCAGTCTTTCCCAGCATCAGGGCCTTCTTCTCCAGCGAGTGCTCCCTTCTCATTGGGTGGCCAAAGTATTTGAGCTTCAGTTTCATTCTGGCCTTCCAGGGAACAGTCAGGGTTGATTTCTTGTAGGATTGACTGATTTGATCTTCTTGCAGTCCAAGGGACTCTCAAGAGTCTTCTCCAGCACCATAGTTCAAAAGAATCTATTCTTCGGTGGTGGCTGACCCTAACCCTAACCCTGCCCCTGCCCCTGCCTCCCAACTACTGGTATTCCAAGGAGGGGTCGCGTCCAAATACTTGCCCGGGTTGGCTCTGCTTAGCTTTCGAGCTCTGGTGAGGGACCGACCGGGCCTTGCCTGGGTATCCAGGTCAGGGCGTCCCCCTCCTGCTCTGGAGTGTCCAAGCTAGCATTAGCTGAGCTGCTAGCTGCCGCCTCCTCCTCTCTGTATTTTAGGGTTTCTACATTCAGAGGAAGACAGCCCTGTAATTCTGATTCGCATAACACCAAATACGCCGTCAAATGCTGTGTTCCCCATCGGGGAGCAGCTACAGGAACGAAAGAGGCCAGACCAGGAGGAGGAGGACGTGAATTCTTCGATCTGATTTCTTCACACAGTCACAGAATCCTGGTTCTGCAGGATCATGATAAAGGAAGGGAAACGCCACTCGCTCCATGGGAAAGTTGTTCCAGCAGCACCTGGGCCCCGGCTGACCAACTCAGTCTCGCCTGCACAGCCCACCTAGCCGAGCCACCTGGACCTGTCTGTCCCCGGTGCAGCCGGGGCTGGGGGAGACTGGCGCTGTGACCCCGATTCCTCCACCCAGCGCAGCAGCCCGCGGGCACCTACCTTCCTCAGAGCGCCTCCCAGGGGGTCCTGCCGTCGCCACCTCCTCCAGGTACCAGCTACTCTCCACGCAAGGAAGACAGGAGGCGAAAAGCCTTAATCCGTGCAAGGCGGCAAGTCCCGGGGGGCGGAATCTAAGAGGTGGACTCCCCCCCCCACTCAGAATAAAGTGAACGAAATAGCCTCCCTCTCTCCCCCTCTGGCGCAGCCTGTTGCCTTCCCCGTCTCCGCTGGAAAGCTGCCCCAGAGACGACTAAGGGTGAGAGATATGAGAAAGGGAAGGAGGGGGAGGCAGGAAGGGGCCGGGAGCTGCAGCTGGCCCTCAGGAAGTTTGGACACAGAAGAGACTCTGCGGAGACAGACTTTCCTTGACAACAGAAAGCATGAGGTTAGCAAAGTACAGACTGGGAAACGGCTCTGTGTAAAAGACTGAAAATCGGAGCTGGTACATATTATCTGGAGTTGTTGTCCGAATCAGTGTTCCCTCTAAGCCGAGTCAGTGTGAGCCAGCTCACAGTTTTTTAGCCTCCGGCTCACACATTTTTGTCTCAGCTCAGGAAGGACGGCTCCAGAGTAAACTAATGTATGCAGCCGCCAAATCGCTCACTCACAACTTTAATGCCAGTGGCTCACAAAGTAGAATTTTTGCTCACCAGACTCCTCCGCTTAGAGGGAGCCTTGGTTAGGCTGCAGAAAAGAGCAACTCGAATGATAAAAGGGTTGGAACACTTTCCCTATGAGGAACGGTTAAGGCGCTTAGGGCTCTTTAGCTTGGAGAAACGACGACTGAGGGGTGACATGATTGAGGTTTATAAGATTATGCATGGGAAAGAGCAGGTAGAGAAAGAGGTACTTTTCTCCCTTTCTCACAATATAAGAACCCGTGGGCACTCCATGAAATTGCTGAGCGGTCGGGTTAGAACGGATAAAAGGAAGTACTTCTTCACCCAAAGAGTGATTAACACTTGGAATTCACTGCCACAGGAAGTGGTGGCAGCTACAAGCATGGACGGCTTCAAAAGGGAATTAGATAAGCATATGGAGCAGAGGTCCATCAGTGGCTATTAGCCACAAGGTATAGATAGGGACTCTGGGGCAAGTGATGCTCTGTCATCTTGGTGCTTGGGGGGGGGGGTCAACAGTGGGAGGGCTTCTAATGTCCTGGCCCCACTGGTGGACCTCCTGATGGCACTGGTATTTCTGGCCACTGTGGGATACAGAGTGTTGGACTGGATGGGCCTTTGGCCTGATCCAACATTGGCATCTCTTATGTTCTTATGTTCTTATGTTCTTAATCCTGTTTCCCCATTTGCCCTTTGTCTCCAGTGGTGAGGGATCCATGTCTTGTATCATCCAGAGTGTACTGAGTCCAAATCTGAGAGGGTTAGGGTTTCCAGTATTCTGGAGTCTGTACAGAACAGGCAGGTTGCCAGAGACGTGAGCAGAGTTTTCTTTGGGGTGCAGAGCTGTTCAAATTCCATTTTCTGGCAAGTAAAAGTAGCAGTGCACACATTGTGTCATGCAAACAAATCAACTTTGGGACAGGGTAGATGATGCCTTCACATTATACAAAGGTAAGTTTGTGGTGCCAAACAGTTCAAATCCCATTCCTGTAACTTTATTCTTGTGATGAACGAGGATATTTGCTTGCAAACATGTTGCACAATAACATTTTTGGACTAGACAGCAGTCGAGGGCCCACAAATTTGGAGCGGCCATAAACAAATGTGTGTTTGCCAGACTCCGCATCGCTCTTAGACAGAAAGACATCATGAGAAAAAGGCCCCTCCCTCAGCACAGGCGGCATAACTCCCACTCCCCAGGAAGCACTCGCCACTCCCTCTTGACACACTCGCCCCTCTCTGGCAGGGCCTTCCTCAGTGAGGGAGGGAGGGCCTCCCAAGGGCCTTGTCTGCACCCCCAGGCGCCACACGCTGAAAGGTGGCCGTATAAACGGGACAAGCAGATGCCAAAGGTACATCATCCGAACAGGAGAGGAGGAGGAGGCTGAGGGGCGATGGTGTCGAGCAACAGCCTGCCCCGTCTCCCTCTCGCCGGCCAGGGCCTCGGCAGAACCCTCAGCAGCTGAGGTCAGAACATCTCCAAGCACTGACAGGAACCCAGTCGGGATCTGTCCACGATGAGGGAGTCATCCTCAACCACCCCCCACCTCCAGATCACCCTCCCCAGCAGTGTAACAGACCAAATCCAGCGTGTAAAATACAATTTAGTCATTACTTGGGACAGGCCCATGGTCACCACGGAGGCCCCGCTGCCCCGTGCCCCTCCTGACAGGCTCCCCTCCTCAGCATGGATCATGTTGGTGAGAACAGTAAGTCAGCGAGAGCCACCCAGGGGGCAGCGTCCTGGTTGTCTCCATGCCGATGATGGGGATCCTTGACGCAGAGGCCACCAGGGCTGCTGGCTCCTTCCCACCAAAGGCGTTGCTGAACCCTGGGCTCCACGGATGGCCTGGCCCCAAGCCCCGTGATCAGCTCTGCTTTATTAGTGATTCGGCAAGAACAAATGCAAAGGCCCTGTTTAAATAGCATGCAAACGACACCCACTTCCCAAACAGCTACCAACCATAGGCCATTGTCAGAACCGTTACTTCCTCATTGGCCACCTCCAGAGTCCTGGTGGGATATTGTTCTAGAGCTTCTCTTTCAAATTCTGAAGCTTGTCTTCTCTGTCTCCTGCTACCCAGTGTCGGGTTACTATAGGGTTACTATAGGCTGCCTTGTGCACCAGTAGGAGGCCAGAGAGAGGGAGGGAGAGAGAGAAGCCCCTCCAGGTGTTGGGGAAAGCCTTGGACGGGCAGGGTGGAACCAGGCCTGCATGTCAGAGCGGGACTGGTCTGCCCCACACATCCAGATCTGCAGTGCCAGAAAGGGTGGGAATTGGCCCTCCTAATCTCAAGAACCCCCCCTTCTCCCTTCTCTCAGGTCAGCCACCGCCGCCCCCTGACCATTATCGGAATTGCCCACTGGGAGGGCCAGGACTCCCAGCTTCTCTTCCAAATTCCGAAGCTTTTCTTCTCTGACCAAATATGGCTTCTCTTATGTTATGTTCTTATGTTCTCTGTATTCTTGGTGTTCGGGGGGGGGGGCACAGTGGGAGGAGTTCTGGAGTTGTGGCCCCACTGGTGGACCTCCTGATGGGTTTTTTTTTGGCCACTGTGTGACACGGAGGGCTGGACTGGGTGGGCCACTGGCCAGATCCAACACGGCTTCTCTTATGTCCTTACGTCCTCCTGCCTGCTCTCAACCAGGAGAGGAAAACTTTTAAAAATGCCTGGTGAAGGTTTTGCTCAGTTCAAACCTCTAAAGAAAAATGCATTTCTCCACAGCATGTGTTAAGGAAGTGTGCCACTAGAATAAATATTCGTTTGCTATTAAAGCTTCTTTTTACTGTTCTAAATTAGAGGTCCCCCACGTGGTGCTTGTGGGCAGTGTGGTGTCCAGCAACTGCCTTTCCTGGTGCCCAGAAAGTGGGTAAGGCCGGGTGAGGCTTCTGCCCAGGAGTCTCGAAAGCGTGCACCAGATCTGCAGTGCCAGAAAGGGTGGGAATTGTAGCGTCTGGGCCCTCCTAGTCTCAAGACACCCCCCCCCAGCCCTTCAGAGACAGACGCTGGGAAATCCGCTTCCACAAGTATCCTCAAACACGGTCAGTATAGGATTGGTGCCCCCCCCCACAAAGTCGTGGAGCTGAAACTTGGTCTGGTTGGACCCTCTGACTGGGGGGTAGTGTGAGAGGCCCACCTGACTGTCCCACCCTGTCAGAGAAGGTCGTCTGTGGGCACACGAGAGAGGGTCTTTTCAGTGGCAGCCCCGTGGTGCCTGGACAAACTCCTCAAGGAAGAGTGGCTGGCCCCCACAGCGGTGACCTCCAGGAGGCAGCTGAAGACCATCTCAGGCAGGGATGGGGGTGAAAAGTGCTGCCAGGCAGCCCCCGACTTATGGCCACCCGGAAAGGTTTCGGGGCAAGAGGTGTCCATTTCCTGCCTCTGTGCAGCGACCCTGGGCATCCCGGGTGGTCACCGGCCCACCCAAGTATTAACCAGAGATGGCCCTACTTAGTAGCTTCCAGGATCTGACAGGATCGGGCCCGGGCCATCCAGGAATGCATCCCACTACTTTGTTTTTATTTACTGGCAGTCCTAATGGGAGGTTTTAAATTGTTGTTCTTTTATTGTAAACCACCTTGAGTTCTGCCAGGCAGAAAGATGGCTAATAAATGTTCAAAACGAATAAATGAACAAAACTTGAGTTGATGTGCATTTGCCACTTGGAGTCACCAGGTGGTGCCACATCACTGCGCTGCGGGCAGGGACTGGAGACCCTGGCAGCTGTGTCAGTCTGCAGCAGCCCACGGGCACCGTCCTAGGGCTCGGATCCATGCAAGACCTTGGAAGCCGACAACGGAGAAAGCAGATGCCCCTGCTATGTAGGCCTTTTGAGTGTGCGCGCGCACCGGGTGGTACGTCTCAGGCAGCCAAGGACTGACGCAGCACAGCCACGTCGGCCCAGCCAAGATACTGTCACACAAACTGTAAGCGGAGGGCTACTTTGGGACTCTCACCCCCAGGCGAGCCCAGACAGGACGCTGGTGAGCTCCCTGGTTCTCTCAGAGCGTGAGCTGCAGCCCTCCGGGCAGCCTGCTTGCTCTCTGCCCTCCTGGGATTTACTTACTCACTTGTTGGCTCTGCACAGCAGGCGTCTTCCTGGCCCCCAGAGCCACCAAGTTCCAGGACGGGAAGAGGCCTCATGGCCACTTGACCAAGGCCCTGCTCAGTGCAGGAGGTCCAGAGGAAAGAGGGTTCCCGATGGACAACTGTCTGGCCGCTGCTTGATGAAGACATCCAGTGAGGGAGAGCCCACAAGGCTCCTTCCGTGATCCAGGCACCCTGCTGGCCACGAGCACGTCCCTCCCCGTGGCCAGCCAAAACCGACCCCCCTGTGTCTTCTTAGGCCCGTCAGGTCGGGTCTTGCCCTCCAGAGCAGCAGAGGACGAGGGGCGCCCC